AAAAGCAATACCTGTATTTGAAATCCCTACTTTAGACTCTAGCATAGAACTAAAAAAAAATGCGTGCGTACAAATTACACAATCATGTCAGAAGTGAAATATCTTTACACTGTACGTGATACGTTCACTCTGTCTCATTCTTTCTCTCAATCCTTCTCACTTGCTTGCTCCCTATTTTCACTCCACGGCTAGTTGCTTCATGCTACGTTCGCTCTGTCTCACTCTCTCTCAATCAGTCTCGATTGCTCTCTCTCTCTCTCTCTTTTTCTACCCTTCCTTTGCATACCGGCGTGACGTTACATCTGTAAAAATTGAAAGCGCCTAAAGAAGTTTCCCTTAAAAAAAAAATGAAACTAGCAATATTTATTAGAGCATTTTATTTTTATGTATAAATAAGCATGATTTCAAATTAAATCTTCATTGACATAATTATAAAATCTCAATAACTATCAAGCTCAACATTCAGTATAACTTAACTATTTAGTGCCGAAACATTAATATAAGGCTTTTTATTCACGTAGCAGTTACATTTACATAACATGAGATATATTTTAATCACATACATTCACTTAATATATATTATAACTGTACATCAAAACATTATTATTATATGTAAGTTACAACGAAATTTTTTTCTATATAAAAATGTTTAACAGTCAAATAAATATTTTTTTGTATATAAAATAAATCAAAAAGTTTTGTATCGTAATAGGAAGATATTCATGGAGAAGAATAATTATACATAGATATAGGTCGAATTGATAACCTCTTTTATTTGAATTTGGTTAAAAATATTCATAAAGTCATTTGCATATTACTCTTCTAGTCAGCAACAAAACGTTCAAAATTGTTACTTTTTTTATGTTAGCCCAATATTGTTAAAAATAACTGTCCTGTATCCTATAATATTAGTTTTCATCATTTAACTGGTAACAAGTGGTTTGCCGTTTTCTTTAATATATACAGGGTGACTGGTGAATTACTATCAATATTTAAGGAGAATACTCGGTACATGATTCTCATTCGAATTATGTAAAAAAATAGGTACTTAATTTTTGACAAATTTTCCGTATAAATAAGTAAAGTGTTGACACGTTCCAAGTGTTCAAGTGTGGACGCGTGCGGCGGCGTGCTGATACAACACTACGTCGCGACACGCGTATGTGTGAGTGTGAGTGTATACCTAATCTGTAGGGTGTTCACACGATGCGTAATTAATTACATAACTTTTGGTTAACTTTACTTAGAAGTTTATTAATATTTATGTTATATTAATTTTTATTTTGTCATATATGATCGTCAAATATCACGTCCTCAAATATCGATAGTAATTCACCAGTCACCCTGTATATTCTCAGTTTATCTGTTAAGGGTACATGCAATATCTTTTTTTAATGTACTTTTCATTCAAACCTTTCCCAAGATCTAATTCATATGTAGGTACATATAATTTTAAACATTTTGATATGAATCTAAACAGTAATTTTAATTACAAGCAAAACAGTAACATGAAAATAATAGCTATTAAAATGTCCAAATATATTACACAGATTATATTGAAACCAAATATTTTATGTAAAAATAAATAAAAATATAGTATGCATTCTAAATCCTATTACAAACTCTTTGAAGTTTCATATAGATAAAAAAAATGAATTTAAATCTTACGCAGAATTATAACACAATGGATATAAAATCATTATCAATATTAACAAAACGACCAGGGATGTCAGTTATTATAAATATAATGTAAATTTGTTTGATAACAACTATACATTGATCTACATTGTTGTACATAGCTATGGCAAGCTATAGCAAATGTTACAATATATTTAAGAGGAAATTTACATACATACAATTAAACCTACATTTCATATATAAATATAGACTTATCACTTGTATATAGAAATGTCTGTTCGTTAGTATCAGTATAACTCAAAAACTCGACCATATTTTCTTTGTTGTAGTAAATTCTTAAGTTCTATGTGAATATTCAATAGTAGTTCCATACCTTGAATATACCCTTAGAGAGGAAATTTTTGTGACTAACATACGTTAATGACGTCATCATACATAATACCATTACATAAAGTGACGTCATCATCCACTTTTAACCCTTCCACTCTCTATGACACATAATTTATAATAGATACAAACTGTACATAGATTACATTGTATAAAAGTTACGAGGTTATTATGTTACACTAACAATTAAACAACTTATAAAACTGACGTATACTGCCTACTGATATATCTTTATACAATCAATGTTTACCGTTCGGTAAATAGTTTACAACAATAATATTATTAAGAATTATATTCCAGTTAGGGTGGGTAGTTAGATTTTGCTACCAAGCGAGTACATAAGTAGGTGTGTCAATTTTGCTAAGTGTTATTATACAATATGGAATAATATACCACCCTATAGCTGAATAGTTTTAGGTCTTTGGAATTTTCCATAAACATAAGTCCAATAATGTTTTTATTACCAGATCATAATTGTTGACTGTTATCTATATAATGCTCGACCCAAGTACTGATGGACCAAGAATAGTATACAATCATATTCTTTACATCAAATTTCACTATCAATGGTATACTGTGAGATCACAGCAGATTCCGTCATTCCAGGCGCGCATATCTGAAATTGAAAGAGCAAAATATTAGTACATAATTAATTAAACTTAAAATAAGGTTTGTATTAATATTTAAACGAACTTTAAATTAATTCCAACGTCGTGGGCTATTATATATCCTAATCCTATGACTTGTGGATTTTTTTGTGTTTAAAATATTGAGTTACTATATATTTTATGGGTAGCCAGTGAATTTGGAAGCGAATCCTATTTTGTTGTGTATATTTCATAGAGTTTTGTTCAAAAATCACTCTCCTAGTGACAGCACATAGATTTTTTTCTATTGGGATAGGACGATTGTATTATTACTTGTATAAATCCTATCATACCATAGAGATCCACTATTACCTACAAAGTGATAATTGTTTTTAGTGTTAGTTTCGTAACGGGTAGGCTTTCTCGTGATAAAGTCACCCAGAATTTTCCATGTGTGTTGGAATCTATTGATATTTGACTTATGGGGCGTGTTCGTAATTTTTGTCGTACGTCCTCACAAAATATTTAAGAGAAGGGTTTTATCTAGAAATTCTCACCTACAACCGTTTCATTCCTTTAACTATATGTAGTAGGTCCTTCGTGTGTATTAGCTTATAATTATTACATTTATAACATTCACTTGCATACTTCAAGTAATTGGTTTAATGAATGTTCTCTCATTAGGATGATTTTCACTATGTTAGTAGTATCATGTTCCGGTCTGTCTAATAATTATTATAATATACATGCATAAACTACATTTTTTTTTTGTATTCAATTTTAAAACATCTGTCAGGTTTATATATTTTGCAATTTTCGATAACAAACTGTTAAAACTTTAGGTAATTTTTGGGAATACTCTTTCTATTTCGTGTATTATAAGTATATACTAATTAATTATAAAATTATGCATTTCAATTCTTTTCAATGTGTCATGTCGATTTACTTTTCGTTTTGCTTAATAGTTTTTTACCGACAAACCTCCAGGTCACCTGTGTCCTAGATATTATTTTATGTCTAATATATCACCATTTGCACTTAAAGGTTAAATATATGAAATTTAGTATCAGATTTAGTTAATCTTTATAAATATTATCCCTAGTGACCCTAGAAATGACCATCGCTGACTAGCATCAGTATAATTTTGGTTAACTTTTTAAATTATAATTAATTTCGCCTTATTCCCATCATACAACATTTATTTTTATAAACTAATTAACATTCTCAATTATATTTGCAAATATTATTTGGTATCTATGAATATTCTACGGTTTCAGATAAACGTTAAGTTTCAATTTCAGACTCCATTTATGTAGGAGCAGTTTATTTTCCAAATACTTATTGAGTTTTTATTCTTTATTCCGTACTCTTTACCTTTGTCTCTAGTCTTCATTGTTCTCTTAGTATATCCAAAGTATGCATGAGATTTAACACTGTTACACAAACATACAACACTAATATTGCACTGCTGTTTGACCTCTATAGTTTGATTTTATTTTAAGAGTGCGTTATAATTTATTGTCAGTAAAATTTCATTTTATGTTACAAACCATGCAGACAAACTGCCATAGAGGTGATTAATATTTATAACTACTGATAACAGTAATTCCTATTTTTAAATGCTTTATATTCCTCAATTAATTTATGCCTTTGTGCCATTCTTATACAAAATTTGTGGCCAAGGACGACCTCACTTTCTACTGTGACTATATTCTCTTAAGCAAATTAATTAACATGATAACAGAGAGGGTAGTTCTAAATCCTGTTGAAGACATTACATTTTCAGGATCTTTACCAAGTTAAAGAGTATGTTCATTTAAAGCATCTTCCATTTCATTACGGAGATGCCTCTGAATTCTAATCAGCATAGTGGAAAAGGTGGGTCAAATGTACTGATATTTAGGTAGTTCACGGTATATGCAGTTAGTATGGTGGTTGACTTGACGAAGTGACATCAGTATGGAAAGTTTGCGTATAGCCCAAAGAAAAACAGTTACTACATAATTAACCACGATATAATTTTGGTAGGCATTTTCTCGGTTAGTGTATTTATCTTCAAGGTTATAATTCCACTTATCATCTTTTAGTATGATAATCAATCAATATCCAGTACATAATAATGCCAAACAAAACACGGTTTTATCGTTAGGACACCTTAAAGTTAGCGACAATATGTTAATTCCTACTAATATTATAAATGCGAAAGTAACTCTGTCCGTCTGAAATTTGGTACATAGATAGAGTTGACCTACAGAAAGAACATGATAGTTTTTATCCCAAACTGAAAAGTTCTCTTGGGAACGCGATATAACCGAACTCGAATTCGAAACTGCTTGCGGAAAGCTAGTATAATAATAAAATTAGGTTATACCTGCGCTGTCTCGACCGCTACAATTGGAACAGGTCGTCGTGGGCTCGTTCTAGCCTCCTCAGCGAGTTGTCCACACGCCTACCCTGTGTTAAGGGTGGCGGCAGGGGCGGCGGGATCACCTCGTTATATGACGTCGAAGCCCCCATAGACGCTGACTGACGTAACCTAGCGGTCGGCCTGTGACGAACGTAGCCATCATCTAGGTCCTTTACGAATCTGGAATAGTTTTGTGTGGTATTTAAGAGCTGAATCTTTATAGTATTGCAATAATGAACTTTATCAAAGCATGTAAAAAGAGATAAGGTTCTTAATAATGTCTTATTAAATATTATTCTGACGTGGAATTATTCACATGAAGGAGGTTTAAGCAACATAAGGCTATATTATATATTTATAAATTCTCTGTTTGTAATGAATTATTTATTTATAGTATAATGCAGCGTTGAAAATAGAATTCTTAATTTTTATTTATATGTTTTAAAGAAAGTAAAGTATGGACTTATGTGCTATAATATTATATACAACATGTATATGATTACATTTGTCATTTGGCTCGATATTGTTCAGATTATGCGCAAACCAGAGGTAAGCAGCTAGTCTATTATGTGAATGTCTTTCTAATACAAAGACAGTTTCGTTTGAAATATCATTTACCTACACTTCTCATCCAATTACTCAACCACTCATAATAACATAAGCTTTAAAGTCTTAGGTAATGGAAAAAATACACGTTTATTTACACGCGTGTACAACACTACAAACGGTAACAGTTTTTCATTCATGATTCGTCCCATATTGTAGTATTAATGGAGGTCATTGAATAAGAAAAGGTAAGTACTTCGTATGCGGTGACGATACAAATTGTGCTCCGGTAAAGAAGCCAACGTAAATATCAGTGAATCAGGCGATTAACTAGATAAATATCATCGTGGGTGGTTCCTAGTGTATATTACGATATTGTCACAAACATTACTCCAAGGAAAAATACAAGAAAAATCTCCTATAACAAGAAAGAGTAAGGTCGCGACGAATTCTTATAAAAATATGATCTATTAAAATTCATATAAACACATATGAAAATAATTTCTGTTAGAGTAAACAACGCGATAAACTGACGAACGAGCGGTCTGTGGGAACTATAAAATATGAATATTGATTTATTTTGAATCATACCATTTGAATGAGGTCCGCGTGCAAAAATTTCATTCCACCTCGCATATGAACTGCTAAGACGGAATTTCACATGTTCAACAACCGAATTTTTGATAAAAATGTAATATTAAAGATAATTTGTAATTGAGGTTATCGATTTTAATATAACAAAAATAAATTATAATATATACTTGATAATTTACATATAAAAAAAATTACAATACAATTGCTAAATGCGCAGCGTTCTAAATTTAAATGGAATCCTGCCGTTCCCGCGTAATGCCGGGTTTAAGACATGGGGACACAAAGACTATTGTGCGAATAAAGATTGTATATTGACCAATCACGTCACACTAATAAAACATACTTTATTCCAAGGTATTAAAGTCTACTTTAATGTTAAGAATTACTGATATTTTTTACTCTAGGGCCTAGACGAATAACCTAGAACAAACTTACTATTGACACGCACCAAATTACAAAACACGCAGTTTTGTATATATTTAGTTTACGTTCTAAATTCAAATTGAAAACATTTTTAAACAATCACTTATTAAGCAAGCGATAATTTCTACGCAAGTGACAATGAATTGATTTATTGAATAAAACAAAAATAGAATATTCATAACAATGATATCGAGAAAATTACGTTTTATCTTGAAAAATAGGTATATTAAATCTTCCTTATTAATATGCAGAAATGTTATTTTTATAATGTGTTAAATACGACACCACAGAACATAAAACTAGTAGTTATTGGATAATGAACGCTGTTTCTTTGAGCACAGAGTTAAGAATAGTTTTCAAAATTACCATATCTTAGTCACTGAAGACGTTAAAGGTTAAAAAACTTCAATATAGATACATTTTAAGATAACAATAACATGTTATATAATATATCAAAAGGTCATAATACGCTGATTCGTTATATTCCATATATTTACAATATAACATTTTCCCTTACATTTCAAATCGTCACAAGGACGCTCTTGAAGCATTTAATGCCCTCAAGGTTGCCATAAATTTAAAAAAAATTCCACAAAAATTTACGTCACTTAAAATAATCTTTGATTCCTCGCACAAAATTATGTTATAAATCTAAAAATAGCGCCATCCGGTTTTAAGCATATACGAGAACACAACATTAATCTTTGACTGTTCCACCAACAACCAGATTAAAATGAGATTTGAACTTGCATTATTTGGCAAACTCAACAAGTCGGAGTTCATATTAATTGGACGCGAACTAACACCAAGAGAAGGAAATTATTATTATCCAGAGACAAACACTGTGAGAACCAAAACAGGTTTAATATTTTTAATATAGATGAATGGCAACGAACATTGACATCGCACTTACAATATGGGTCATTGTTCAAACTTGCTCATTTGTTTAATAAGCTACAATTATTATTGTTCAGGAACCGTATTTTTTTAGGACAGAAATTATACACTTATAATAATTCATATCTCTGTCTAATTTCGTATACATTCGACAATTCTGACGTAACAAATATTACCATTATTTAATTTTAATTTTTAAATTGAGTTAACTACTGGTTTTTAGCAAAATTTCAAAAGAAAAATTTTGCAATTATAGTTATAGTGTTGTCCAAAAATCTTTAGCATACTAAGATTTTACAAAAGCACAAAGCCAGCCTCTTTAAATAAAATGGGTTACATTCTTATAAAACATGACTAAGGCCAGATATAAATGAAAAATATATATTAACTGAAACAGATTTCCTAAATCACTCATCTTAATACAATGATCCGTAAGCCAACAGAAACTAAGACCTTGAATGAAATCATGTGACAAAAACATAATATATTCAAATAAAAAGCGGAAAGTGTGAAAGGCACCCGCAACAAACATGGTACGCGGGCGACGGCTGTCATGTGACCGACGCTGACGCATAGAAAGCAACTAAAATTACTTTCGTTGAAAACTAAATCTTCATTAATATTACAGAGAAATTTTAATTAATACTCATCATTTTTATTAACAAAGCTATGCAGTTTTTACTTATTGTTTTTGTATATATGCACTCCGTAAGCGAAATTGAAAGTGATACTGATGATCGTAAACATATTAATGGAAATGTTCATAATATATACAAAATTGCAAATATTGCACTTTGTAAGTGGTAAATTTTATTAAATACAAATATGTTTTTGGCTATATTTAATAATTGAATGCATGAATGAATGATTTTTTATGTAATTCCACTGCAAAAAAACCGTCCAGTCACTGACAACCTTGAAACTAAACTAATTCATAGAAAAAAGACTGGTTGAAATTAATTTAGTATGAATGTAATGTTAATTATATATATATAAACTATTTAGTGTCAACCTTCTTAGTTAAATAATTATATTTATAAAGCATAATGCCAATAAATACATTGACTGAAAGTAAATTGGGAGTCATAAATAATTTCATACAAAACTAAACAGTATAGAAGTGAATATTTTTAATTTTAACTCAAAATATTACTGATATCATGATTAGTAACTAGATACCAGAACCAATATGACTTTTTCTGACTCTTATGTACTTTCTAAGAGTATTTAAACACAACTGACATATGGTGAAGGAAAAATCGTGAGGAAACCTGGACTTATAACTTCAAATTTTAAGTTTAAAATCGCCTATCCGCTTTGAGAAAGCATGGTGATTAATGCTCTAATTTTCAAAATGTGAGAAGAAACCTTTCCTCTGCAAATGGCACCTATAGGCTGATGATAACATTGTTTAAATATTCTTGTCTGTGGTCATCATCTTTATAGTTAAAACAAAAAATGATATAAATTCGCTAATTTTACTTCCATATGTATGTATGTAAGAGTTGTCATAAATAATTATCACCAACAAACATCTATCGTCACAAACAATAAAATTATAGAGTAGGCAGTATAAATGTATACCATTTTCACATTTTTATTGTCGCTCTTAACATTTCCTAGATTACTTTTTATTACATCAAATTTTGTTTGTTTTATTCTTCTAATCTGAGTAAATTTTAATCTTGCCTAATTATTATTATGAAAAAATATACTATTATGTATTGTGTAGCAAATTATATGTCGGAATTTCACATTTGAACATTATGACTAATAATTTTATAATCGTTTTTATACATATATTGTTTGTTGTTTATGATGTCTATTTTATAATTATGTAATAATTTTTGGTATAGTAAAATATTGAAAAAATACAAAGAGCCTAAGTAACAGAAACTAGTATTTTAAAACTATATGAAATACATTATATCAAATATCTTTACATTCATAATTATTAGGAATTTTTTATGAATTTTTCATATTAATGGACCCAAACTAAAACTTTTCCATCTTTATAAACAACATGAATACTTAAAAAGAAAAATTATTATATACCTAATTAAGTATTTTTATAAGCTGTTTTTTTAGAGAAATTATTTTATTTAACTCAAAAGAAACTACACTATCATCAAATACTTCAAAGTAAGTAATGATATATTCCAATTTAAGTTTACTTCATGTGATTTATCAAGTTCATGTTGAATGTATCTCTTATCATGCGTAAACATAATTATCAAAACTACCGACTCTACTATTTGCTCAACTACATCATATTTTATCACACTATTGTAATTCTGGAATATTTTTGTCCAATGTGTATGTAATAAATAATATTAATCATATAATATGCTCTTTTGAAATAAATAAAGTGACGGTTCAATAATTAATGTTCTTAAATTAAAATGTCTATTTTGTTTTTTAACTTTTCCAAATCGCAATGTTTCAGTTTAGGAGTATATCAAGAATATTCAGTGCTGATAAAAATTCTAAGAACTTATATGTTCTATTATTAAAAATACTTAGGGTGCATAAGATAACACAGGCTTTGATATAGCACAGTTCAATGTCCATAAATTGGGGCAACAAGATAAACTTTATATGAGTTTAACAATACCCAAAATACATGCTGCACTCAATTAATATGGCATAATGTGTTTGGTTCATTGCTTAGAATTGGAAAAAAAAAACTTTCTAATTGTCAAATGTTATTAAAATTGATTTTTACATGTTACACAACACTATCAAGATATTACATATAGTATAAATAACTAAAAAGAATCACTATTAATACTCACTCGCTGGTCTCCTTGCTTTTCTCTACATGCTTTTTGATATTCGCAATTGATGAGTCGAGCCTATTGAGGAAGTTATCAAAGGACTCTTTCTCGTCAGGACTTCCAGGTGAGAAGTCCCTGGTCGGCATACCAGCTATCGACGCGCGATGGCTCGGCAGCGCTAGCTCGGTCACTCGTTCTCCGTTCTCGTAATAAGGAGACTCCTTGGTTACAGGAATTAACAAATATTCTCTCAAGAATAAACTGTCCGTAGCAAACAGGCGGTTCGCCCGTCTAATCTTCTCCATCTGCAAACATTAACGTGTCCGCTTATTACCAATCACCTGATAAACTTATTATCAACACAATAATTGTGATGGTCAATAATAGTCTTACTGTAACACCATATTTTAGAGCTATTCCTTGCAAAGTATCTCCCTTGGACATTACGTGTTTGATGTACTCTTCGTTCCTTTTTATGTGGTTGCAAGTACTCCCATATTTTTTTAATGGTCGGGCAGATTCTCTAATAGAAACACGCTCATCAAAAAGACGATCCTCCTCCATATTTGACGTAAAACAAGACATTAATGACAAAATCACAAAAGCAATGAAGATAGCGGTGAATCGCTGTCATCGATAGTAGTGAAGTTGCGTAACGATTGCAGATAAAAAAAAATATACTTACTGTAATTTTTACATTATTATAAGAATATATTAAATTATTTCGTTTACTTTTAATATGTAACAACTTTACTATTATGCATTTTATGTTGTAATTTTTTATATTAATCAACAACAGATGGCGCTGTTTTCACATTCAAATCATTCAACATTCAATAGTTAATACTTCTTTTTTTTAATCTTGCGATTTCATTCGAATGTTCGGTCAATCAATCAGTCTCTCGGTGTAATTGGTGAGAGTTGTGTGTGTGTGCGACACTGATCTTAATAAAATTGTTGTTATGAAGTAAATGATAAGTGAAAAATTAGTTTTTGTGAATTCAATGTTGTGTTAAATAATTTTTTGAGTATTAAGACTTAACAACTATATTTTGAAGAATCGTGGTTAAAATTTTATTTGCGTTTGTACACATGTTGTGATCGATACTTATTTACGTTGTTGATTTTTTTTTCTGATGAGGGTAAGTACGTTTATTAAGTGAATTGCTAATTACAATTTTGTTAATTATAATCAATTTGTATCTATAAGTAAGTGATAGCAGCGCTATAATCCCGGTTTGGTAGAATATTGTAAATGCCTTCCTGGCCGGTCCTGCCTAGCCAGTGAATTTCGCGAGGGTTGGCGTATAAGCAATTTTTATTAGTGTGAAGCCATATTTGGGGGTTTGCTTACTAACGGGTGTGACCCCAGCTAGTTAGGCAATGTATTGTTAATAGTATCCGATTTCTAAATGTTTATTTTTTATCCTACTACTTAATAAACAAAACGTTAGATATTCATTGACGTGATTTCTATCCCACTTGTTAATCGTCAACCAAAAATTGTGAATAAATATACGAAATCGACAAAATGTAAGAAAATAATTAATTAGCTATTAATGTAAAAATATGTTATAATCGTAGCACATAAATCACATATACAAAACGTTATGTATATGTACGTACTATGATCGTACTTTTAAAACCTCAGCCAGTACAATCCTACATACCACTTGATGGCAAACTACAGCTGAGTGCTAGTGTATGTAGTTGTACATCGATAGTACTTACCCTGGAAACTATATCGACTCCCATAAGGCACGACATGGTGCGCAACTGCATTGTTTACATTCAGAAATCTCTACTTGAAAGTTCTCAGAATCATATGAATGTAGGCGACTTCATTACAAGATTTTCATTGATTTAATATCTTCATATATTATAGAATTATATACGCATAAAACAAATTAATTAAAAAAAATCTGGATACACAATTTTTTCAATACTTTATTCAGTATCAAATTCCTCGGTTCTTGTTACGGAAACAATGTTGCAATAAAAAAAGAAAACTATTGTTTTTTATCAAGTCAAGCTAATATCATAAGTAAATAAATGCAAATTACATTCCAGTATATTTTTTTCTCTAATTCTTCTACTTGATCAACTCTGTCATGTGTAGCCGTCTGGAATAATGATCATTTAAAGATATATTTACATATAAACAGTGAAAATGCTTTTAAAAGACGTTTTAAATTACATGAACGTTAGAAATTTTTTGACGCCATCTTGGTATTAAGGAACAAAATTACATATCCCAAACACGATAAATAATGACTCCAAATGACTAATCTAGTCCAATTCATCACTTACCTCGACATAATAGAACACTTAATGAATCATACCTAAATGGGATACCGTGAAATAAGAAAAATATAACGAGAAAACAGGTTAAATATGTCATGAGTCAAGTTAAAAATCGCCGTGTTATTATGACTCACTATCTGACAAGACCTCCGTGGAATCCCTCTTATCTTAAGATTAATCTGTATTCATTATTAGGAGATTATGTCTCAGACGTTAGTGCTTCATCTAGTTCATGGACGTAGATAATGTATAACTTATAAGCATTTTCCCATACATAAATGTTATCAGTAAAAAAATGTATCAAGGCATTTATATATTTTAGAGACTAAATCGTCATACAAGTCATTAGAAAGTATGAAAATAGTTAAGTGACTATGACGTCACACTACTAGTGTACGTAGGTGACGCAGTTTCTGCGAACTTAAGGGATTGTCACTTACGTCAATAGTAACGTTATTATGACTTGGCGTGTCAAAAATGAGGTTTCGTCCGCATTCCGCGTTACAGCTGTTTAAATTATAGATTATTTTAACAAATAATAATAATCTATGGACATGCTAGCACTAACTGACGCTCTCAAACTAGTATACTTAAGTTAGGTATTGTGAGAATATTAAACTTAAACTAAAGTAAAATGTTTTAATTATAGGTACTAAAGATTTCTATATAATTAATGAAGCTGCGTGTATTATTTGTATTCTCGTAATATCTAATCATTCCCAATAAAATGTTTAACGCTTGTAGTGCCATATATAAAAATTGTAAGCTTACAATGCACGTAAAAAGTGATATAACAATTATTTTTACAACCTATAATTTAAAATTTAATTTATAACATTCATTTATAATAAATACACGGCTATATATGTTCTGTTCGTTGTAGCGTGAAATTCAATTTGGTCAAGTCATCTATTCTGTGCGCTTACCGTAAGCTTGCATCGTCATACTATACGTTTCGTTAGTAGTTTCTCATTCAATAACATTGATATTATAAACAATAATGTACTATTGTATTAAAGAAAAACTTGAAACTGTCTGTACGTAGTTTGACAATGGAAACTTCTACTAAACATACATAAGAACAGAAAGATTGGTGTATTTTTTATACGCTATTATTTCAGAGACAATGATTGTTATATTTGATTACAATTCATTTTTCATATATGAACTTTAATTTGATTATATATTCTCGTTTTTATTATTAAATATATACATCTTAATTCTTAATGCATCACGTTTCAAGAGCAGATGTCTACCGAGCAGGTGTGGACTCTTTTTTATATTCATTTTGTTCACTATCTTACGCGATACTAGTGTTGTAGTCAAACAAACCGATATATCTAAATATCGGTTATTTTATACGTAATAAAAATCGCTAATATTACCTTCCGTTATACGGTTTAAATCTTAAATTGATTTTTTTAGAACCATAAATAAAAAATCTTTTTTTATTGTTTAACTAATATTACGACTATTCAATAATTTTTATTATGTTAAATTAAAAAATAAATGACAAACGTCAATGTTACAGATTAAAAATATGTAGTCCATTTTTACTTTTTTTGTTCAGATGTCGATTCACAATTCGCAATGAGCATTTATAAGCTACCTGCTGTAAGTACCGGTCTGGCAGACTTTAAATAAACCTGTCATTTTAGTTTATTTTTTATATCATAAAAATTCGTTAAAATATTTTAAAATTTCAATTCGATTTCGCGAATATACTATAAATTGTGGAGGTCTGGTAATTTATCTGTAATAAATTTATGAAAATGTAACAAAATTGTTCAATATCACCTTTGAAAAGTATTTCTTATTAATTCTAAAAAAATTTTATACATTAAAAAGTTAATGATACAAGTTACTCTATATAGCTAGTATAAATCTTAACGATAGAACATCGATCATATAAAAACATATAGGAAGTTGTTATTGTATTTATGAATACCTCACAAACCAGAGATAGCTTTGTGTGGAATTAATGGAACTTAGTTTTTAGAACCCAAGTCGACTCCACGCAGAATTTTTAACTCGCATTTTAATGGTCCGCAAATTCCATTATTTGGCAGACGTGGTCATTTCCAAAAGACAAAAAAAAGTTGCAAGATATACTTCTCATATATATACATGTGTTTAAATGATAATTCATAAAACGTATAAGTTTATTAAAACATTTATTAGAATATTTGTAAGAAATGTAAAGACCTATGACGAGTTATATAAATATTTAAACTTTTATTTAACTCTATATTTTGACGTTGATGTCTGTGGTATTGTAGCTCTCATACGGATCGACCGATTACGATGCAGTTTTTCTCAAATCAAAGTCAGTTCTTCTGATATGGATTTAAGCTTTGTTGGGCTAATTCTGCTCCATCAGTGTAAGAGTATCAGCTGTTTTACCGAAGTAATTATATTTTATAGTGCAATCATACTAAAAAAATAAATACTTCGATTAATCCATCGATTTCATGCCAAACTTCTATTATCATTGTCTTTTAATTTAATATAACTAAGTAAATAACAGTAATATTATAAATTATAATACATATATTTATATTTTAATCGTCAAATCGGTCAAAGCGGACGTAGCATCCTGCTATCAGCGACGGTCGCCACGCTTACGAGTCGTGTCATAAGGATAAATAACTGTTTATAACAATCCTTTTATTATTAATTAAATCGAAATCGTAACAGTGATATGAAGTAAACAATATAATTATGTATATATAATTAAACTAAATTTCTTCCTGGAAACACAGTGCGTAACGTCTTTACCAATTTCAGTAAAATATATTTTTAATATTTTATAATACTTAATAGAAGTAATTTAAATTATTGCAAGAAAATTAAACAAAAATATGATTAATTTTCCGTTATTTGTACAAACATACAACCAACTCAATCCTGTGAAACTCATATTCCTATAAAACATATCATATTCTCTTTAATTATTTGTATTGGTTTCAACAAAGTACTTCATCGAAGTCCATAGCCAGTTTTAAGAACTAATTATAATTTATAAGCCTTCCTCATTACCAAGATCGGAATGAGGACATGACGATTTTGTTATATTTATAAGCCATAATATGTTATCCTGCTTCCCACTAACTAGTGAGGAAGCATGCTCTGTGTATATTTGGTGCTCAAACAAAAACTACTTAATGGATATTGATGAGACTCTATAGTTATGTAGGTAAGACAAAATAGTAACATGTACGATATAATTTATTCCGAATTTCAATGTAGTTCCCGCGGGA